ATCTGTTGTTCTGGACGATCGCAATGTAGGATCTTTTTACAAGGACAAAGGAGCATTTGGACTCAACGGTATTGCAAGCGATGGGACATTTCCGGTCTTGATAAAGTCACGATTTCGATTTGTCTCAAAATTTTGGTTTTTCCAATCAAATATTGCAAGAAGTTTCACTAACATATGAAAGACAAAAGTTTAAAGTTACGAAATTTCAGAAAAAAATTTTTTTCGAGCAAATCGTCATTTTTCGTATCCTAATACCTTAAGGGTTCAAGTTCAACTTCACAAGTGGTCATCAATTAGGAGAAGAAGATTAAGAATGAAATCATTTTTAATCATCTTTTTTTTTTGTTCCCTTTTTTGGCCCTTTTTTGTCCTCCTCTCCCTCTTTGTGCCTCTGTGTTCCTCTTGTACTTTTGTTGTAGTGACCATTTTGTATTTTAAATATTGACCGTTTTTGACGAAATAGAAAAGATATCGCATTACTGTTCACGGTACAAAGTCAACGATATCATCGATCAGAACCAATCACAGCGCACGTGATTGCTACTCCTGGTCAGCCAATGAAAATGTTCCGTCACGTTCTCAGTTACGGCACACCACGTGATAAGTCAACCACACTTGCCGCTGACCACTCGTCAGTGGAAAGATATAAACACTATTCCATCACAATCAGTCTTTCTGGTATAGTAACGTCGTGACACCATCTTTTATACCCCGTTGGACAGACTATTTTTCAGTCTTTCTTTCTAAATTTTTAATATAATTTGATATTTTCCCATTGTATTTATCAGAGTATAAGTAATACTCTTACTTTATTCCTCCATCCAGTGTATTCATTCAAATAACCATTAAAAGTAGGGTTTATATATCTGAAGCAGACATACTTCAATTTTTCATTTTTGTTTTCTCGTATGAGACGTTGCCCTCTATTGAATGAAACTGTGACGTGGCAACCCACAAACAATAATACAATTWAAAAAACCCTAATACATTAGTCCTCTTATAAAATCCAACTTCAGCATCCATGCACAGAAGGTAGGCTCTTCATGTCCTATTTCACCAGCAGTGTTCTTCATCTATTTATATACACCTAATTGAAAAAACGTCGCGTTCAAAAAAAGGTTATGTCATCAGAGCTAAGACCGAAGGGGAGCATGGGAAGACACAATTATGCTAATTTCATGCGTATTGCAGTTTTCCCTTCCTGTGCACATTTTATGCATCATGGCTTTGGCATGTTGTTAATCTAGGTCGACCGACTTTGCTCTACTGTGCATTTTTACATGTCTATATGCAAATATAATACACATTTCGGAGTACCCAAAATCCTTTTCGGTCTTAGCTTCGATGATATGACCTTCTCGAACCTGACTACGTTTTTTCAGTTAGGTGTATTCATATTCTGTCTTCAGCGACATTAGCTAGGTAGAACGTACATGGAGTATCTACCGAGCAGACGCGCTGTAATGGTGTGCAGCTTGTCTGTGCTTCTTTTTCTTCTTCCAAATTCGGTCAATTCTTAATCTACTATACTCGGCCAGTTTTTCTCCACACTTTGGACACGTGTGAACTACATTTTTAAGCCCGTCTAAAATAAATGGTATCCAAACGCAGCAGTAACATCTGAAAGAAAAAGAAAATTGTTTTGAAAATCTAAATTGAAAAATAATTGATATTTTAATCTACTGCGCATGTCAGTGTGCCATATAAGGCGTGAAAGGCGGCATTACCTAAAGAAGCTCGTTTCGCGACCATCTTGGAAAAATTTAACAATTAGTTTTTTTTCCCCCTTAATATCAACCAACATGGTAGCCATCAGACCTTTAGACTCTTTCAGGCTCTTGAGAAGAATGAGTGGAAAATAATTTACAAAACTATGACGTCAGCCGGGTTTTTATATTAGATTAGGCGGTTAGTTTTGCTTTGGCCACATTTTCAAGATGGGGCCTTCTATAACGCGATGCGTTAGTTTTAATTTCAAGCCTCATTTATAATTAAGACTCATTATGCACTATTCAACTTTCCGGTTTCACAAAAAATATGTTTTGTTCTTTCTTTCTTTTTTTTTTTTTTTTTTTTTNAGATGTATTGGTCAGCAGGATAAAATAGGGGGAAAAAAGTTGGACTGTTGAACGAGAAAGATGTATTGGTCAGCAGGATAAAATAGGGAAAAAAAGGGAAAGACCGAAAACATAGCATGGGAGACTGGGGAAAAGTAGAATGATGATCTAATCTTGAAAGGTAGTCGTGCCTTTTCATTGAAGCGAGACGAACGGTGAGCTTGCAAAGATAGAGAACGTTTTTAAACACCTTGAATAATTATTCACAAGTCTCTATCATTGCAAGCTCACCAGTCGTCTCGCATTGAGGCAAAGGCACGACTATCTTACAATATGACGCATGGAACTGTGAAGGGGACTATTGACTATCATTTTTGGTTTTATCTTATACGCCACTCAAAAAGGTTATATACCTGGATGATAAGTGTCACGATAAATAGCACGATTCCTTCTATAAACATGAAGAGTACTTCTTGTCCAACACCAGGCATTTCCCACGACAAAGAACTATCCGTGTACTTGACACCAGCGAAGGCACAACCAGCCTGGTTCCTGTCGAGATGATTTGTATAAATTAAGTGATCAGAAAAACTACAACCTTTGTTCTTGTAAGTTAAATATATTGTTTAATAGGCACTTGGAGTAAAAGGGGGCTATATAATTCTCTACTGGGAGAGGAAAGGAACTGTTTGTGTTCCTTACGTTACTATTAATACTTTTATTATTAATGATTTATTTGTTTGTATTCATGACTTGCTTTATGGGTTTGTATACTATAATTTTTGGTTGCTTGCTTGCTTGCTTTCTTGTTTCTTTGCCGCTTCCTTTTTTTTTTTTTTTTTTTTTTTTTTTTTTTTTTTTTTTTTTTTTTTTCCTGTTTCCCTTCCTTACCTTCCTGTGCCATTTTAAGAAACAGAGAAAACGTTTTTATAAAAGACTAATATGATGATATTATCTCAAGTTTTTCACGTACTTTAGTACAACAACTTTATTTCAATATTAAAAGTACGCTAATCTGCAAACTGCATCCATCTGTCATCTTTATAAATTAAATTGAACGCTCCAGGCAAAATGGATTTTGGAAATTTCTTAAATCGGCAAATAATAGAAATACTTGAGTTCATATGTTAAGCTGATAAGAATCGTAGAGGTTCATTCATTTGAAGATTTCAATTATAAACTAACTCATTTTTCTCGGTAGGAAATCAATCACTTTGTGTCGAGTGCGTTGAGAGTTTTGTAATTACAGGATATTCTGTGATAAAAGACGTATAAGTACAAGGTGGCTCTTATCGCACGAGGTTTAGACTATGCATGTTGGTGTTTCACGGCGCACGTTAACCGTCTTTACAATTGATTTTTGTTGAAATATTTCGTTGGAAGCTCAAAAAGATAAATGCGAAACGAAAATGTGACCCTACTTTAATTATAAACATAAAACAGCTGCAAACGCTTTTATGTACACACTAACAAAAGAAAAATCCATGAAGCCATTTTGTTTTTCAAAACAAAACAAAATAACTTAAAACTTGAACTTTAAAGTCTTTTTAAACATGTTATTTATTTTCAAAATCATTTTAAATTCTTCTAATCATAAATGAAACATTTTAAAAGACTAATTCAACCTTGAACAATCCACGTGGAAATTCTAAATAGACGCAAACGTGTTTGCCAAAAATGGCGGGAAAACCAAAAACCACAGAAATGGGAAAAATTCTTGAATGCATTGGAAATAATTCTATGTAACTTTGTATTCTTAATTCAGTTAAAAGTCTTAAAAACAAGAAATTCTCTGCCTTGTACTCACAATAAAGATGGCTTGTGCGATTAAATGTAACTGAAAAATATATTTCTTTGAACAAATATAACGTATTTAGTATTTGAAAAGCAAATGCAAACGCTAGAACAACAAACAGCGGCAACAAAAACGGTAATAAATGGTAGAGCCAACGATTTATACAGCCATGGATATTAAAAAAGAAATGCTAAGTAAGCCATGCTCTAAATCCTTATCGTATCAAGATTATTTTGGACAATGACTGACGTCTAGCGTCTACTTCTATTCCTTAATAAACTTACAATTCCTTTTATGCATGATTTATGAAGATATCTAATGAAAAAGAGTGTGAACGTTTTAGTATAATCTACTCAATGCCGTTTTGTATTCAAACGGAATTACTAAATAATATATTATTAGTTGTTTTTTTTTCGAGACCATCACTTGCGTTGAAAATTACTTGTGTGTGGTTTATATTTATCTGTTTTTATATCTTGTGAAAATGAGTATTTTTATGTGAATTTGTGCTTTTATATTTATTCTATATGCGAACGAAGAATATTAAATATAGGTAATGAGGAAGTGTTAAAAAATGGGATGCCGTTATAATTTTGCTAAAATTATTGAAAGACGTTTGGTTAGATTAGAATAGGAAATAATAATAAACAATTTACGGAAAAGAAAATAAAGTTTTCCAACGATACTGAAAAAAGTAGCTAAGATCCACCATGCAAACTTATCAATTTCCGCGATTCACTAGTTCTTCCTTTAGTAATACCTATGAATTCCAAATTACTTAATTTACATTATGACCGGACATCTATTTTAATTCAAAACAGCAAGGCTTCTTTGTCAAAATTTGAGGATTTCCTCAGTGATCTTTCTTTCAGTTTCAGCATGCTTTTTTCGGCGTGAATGAATTTGGGCAATTAATTTTCGCTCAGCAACTCAGTGTGTTTGAATTTTTTTATTTCCACCGAAAATCCGTGGTTTCAGTTTCATCGAATGCCGACATAGAAAGGCTTTCTTTACATTATATTTTGGTTTTTGTTGCCTATCGGCGAGCATGTATTCTATTGTTTTTCAATCCTACTATTTTTTAATAAATCCCCACTATAAAACATTTCACAAACACCCAGTATAAATCCAAGAATAAATATGTGGAAAAAAAATCTTTATTAAGATATTTACTCCTCCAGTTTTCGCTTGTTTTATTAGCATGTTGCTAGAACAAAGTCCAAATAGTTGGAGAGCAGTTTTTTTAAGCCGAGGATTTTTCCACTACAATTGTATGGTCGAAATACTGATTTTAAAATAAATAAGCATAACTGAAAACTCGATGGTGCTGATGATCATAAATGACAAATTTGCTATCAATATTTAGTAACAATCATAACTCAAAAAGAATGACAAAAACAACCAAGATATAGTGAATATATTTTATCTACTTTTGTCCTTGACGTATTTCAGATCTTGATAAAAACAATTCAGTCTGGAGAGGTATAACCTCGAGGCAAAACTTCTAGCGAATATATGAATATCAAACATATTGAGAAATTAATGTAATTTCATTGAGTGAAGGAATTTTCCATTGCACTAGATGGTTTATAAAATTCCCTCAGTAGCGACTAAAACTTGGAAGCCAATTCAAAGCCGTTATTCTATAAATTCAAAATATTGTTTTTGTTTGTCGAATTTAGTGTTATGGCCATTTAAAATTCTGGTGTTCTACATGCTTTGAAGTTCATGGTAAAATAATGAAGTATATATGTATTTCCAACAATGTTTTAAGTATATTGTATAATTCATAAAAAGCATAACAAATATAGCTCCCAAATTGAATACCACATTTCGATTGACAAAACAAAATCATTGTTGCAGAATCGATGTTGAAAAAAAAGAAAAAAAACACGAACTAGCAGCCTTTCTATCTATGAAAACCTAATTGAACTAAGTGCGGCTAAGGTAAACCATTTCAACTGCATTTATCTGTGGAATTAATAATTTCGTTTTGATTTTTACCCGTAATACTCACTGAAAAATACAAAGGCACGCTGAAGTCCAATATGTATATTTTCCCCTTTTAAAACTGGTTCTTGTCACAATTTTTTCCTTGCAATTCGGGCAAGTTGTATAAACAGGAACGTCTTCAAAGAGTAACTGGTCTTCAATGTTTTCTTCATTATTCGCAGCCGAATCGTCAAACTTAGACGATGAACCATCAGCATTGCCGACAAGACGTTGTCTCTCCTCTTCAGACATTAGCCACGCTTCTTGGAATTCAATTTTTGAGCGCTGATTTTTATGAGGGTTTCCCTACAATGTACTTGTGTGATAAAGCCGCTAACACTCCAGCGTCAACCCTATTTTGTTTGCATGAGAAAGCATGGCTATGCCTAAATATTAATGACGGAGTAGTTTCTACGCAATACTGGCTCTCAACTTCAGATGCCTAATTTATAATTCTCGTTTTTGTCTTAAATTGTGATTGGTTGAAATAAAAATCAGCATAGGTTGGTCGTTACGATTGGATCTTATCAACGAATGGCTGTCAGTATACCCAATTACGCCGTGTCTATAAAATCCAATTCTGAACTGAACATAGATGAAATAACAGCACCAAAAAAAGTAGTCTCTTTTTCCTCGATATTTTGGAACGCTATTATTAAAGTCGACTGGTTAGTCGGCTTTGAGGGCTTCGGCTTTTCATCATTTTCAGGTCATGCTCCTAAAGTATCCATATTCAGTTCCTTCTCTTGATAGGAACATTATCATCGGTGTTTGAAGAGCGACAATAGCCTAGTAAAGATTTCAACATCAATTAGTTCCTTAAGTCGGGAAATTGAAATGTTCACAGAGCGCGAAATAGCTGTTTCTCAGCGCTATCAAAGAGTCCATCAAAAATCCAACTACCTGAGTGAATTCTAATGATTTATTTTTAAGATTTGTACCAAGATACAACATCGAAACTCTTCTGTCTTAAGTCAATCGCCTATGACGTACGTACGAGTGAACAGAATCAGCTGCTATGGAATTCTTTCATGCGCATGCGCAAACCTGAAATCCGATGGAAAAAAATAAATGGAATTAAAAGGCGTTAAAAAAAAAAACCCAGCACGATCCATTCGCCAGTTTGATATATTTAGATGCTTTTACTCCACTAATACAAAGTCTCTATTTCGAAATTGATACTTTTAGTATATATAGCCGATCAAAAGCTTTGCACCAGAGCGGCCGTAGTTTATCTGCAGGTGTGTGTGTGTGTTTGTGTAAGTAGCTAGTTTCCTATCTCTTTATGAAAAGCACCGTTTGAGCGCTTTGAACTTTACGATATGACTTTGAGTAGGGATCATTCATTAAATCTAGGTAGGTAGCGATGAAGCTACCAAGTGTCATTTCTGTTCATTCCTTCGATATCCTGTGAAATGCTGACACTTTTTCGAGATATAAAATAAACCTTTTTCAGGGAGGCTATCTGTTGTTTCCAGAGTATCTGCCTTTTAGGAGTGTCATTGTTTTGAGCCTGTTTCACGTTCATTTACCTCCTTTTAAGACCACAAGGAATCTAACCCCTGGAGAGAGGTAGATCTTATCGGTCACGGAATATTTGTAAAAAAAGTTAGAAATCGTAAAAGAAATTGAGCACTATAAATGATGAAAATGAACTAAATTAGGGAAACAGTTATCGTAGATTGATAAGTTTTACACCGTAGTGAAAATAGGAACTGACGTTTCGGACGTTAGTCCTTCGTCGGAGTCAATTAGGGAAAGAAAGAAAGAACGGACGAACGAACGAACGAATAAAAAGGAAGAAAGGAACTAAAAGAAAAAAGGAATGTGTAAAGAAAAAAAGTTTAAAGGAAAGAATAGGAAAATTAAGCAAGAAAAAAATTAAGCAAAAATGAGAGAGAAAGAGAGAGAGAGAGAGAGGGAGAGAGAGAGAGTAAAAAATAACAGGTAGCCCAATTCAATCTTTCTCAAACTCATATCCAGTCTACGAGGGGCTTCGTTGTCATAGTAACAGTAAGGCGCCATCTTGTTGACTGGGTTGTGTAAACTGTACATATTTGTATTTTTATGATCCAAAATAACTACAAATAATGGATATTATACAATTGGTAAGCTACTAAAAGTGTACTAATGATGTCTACTGCCAACAGTGGGATTTATCAGCTGGAAAATCTACCATTTTCGTCGGTAAATTTTGACTTTTATTACGACAACTTTGACTTGTAAAAATGACTTCTTGTCTTGACTTTTTGAAGTTTTCTATTTTCTTTGCTATCTTAATTTATATATCTATTTTCCTCGATGTCATAGAAACAGTTCCACGATAGATTTTCTCGTTTGGCTGGTCCCTTGAGCCTTTACGATGCTGAAGACAACCCGGGTAAATATCTTCTATGAGTWGACAAGTCATGGAAGCGTTTTTCAATTATTTAGACCATTCACCAACTTTAACTTAATTTTACGCTTCTACGTTTATCTCACAGAGGTCGGAAATGAAAATCCAGACGTTGAAAGACCCTTAACTCCAGTAGAAGTATGTAAAATAGTAAATATTGAAGTTTTTTTTTTGCTCTCTGTTGTGATGTGTGAATGTGTGTTGCTTTTTTTAAAATAAGCTTTTGTGGTTTTGATTTACAGGAAGCTATAAAAGGACCTCCAACTACATTCAGTGCTTTTGCTAAGCTGATACGCCCACGTCTGACACCAAAAGACGTTATTCCTGGACTGACTGTGAATGATCAACAAGAACTTGTAAGTTGTTGATCAATGATGATGTTTACAATGATTGCGATGAGCATGATGATGATGATGATGATAATGATGTCTGGTGGTGATAATGATAGTGGCAGTGATGTCAGTGAAACTTAATTACAATTTCATCAGAGTAAGATGTGGCCTGACTTAGATCAACCCTGAGATGTTGTTTCAGGGTTTGATCAGCTGTCTGTCAGATGTGTTGATGGTTTGATCTGTGAGTTAGCTTTGTGTCTTGACTCGGATCACTCAGTCTAAAGGTTGTTTCAGAGTTCAAGAGTCTACGTTTATTTTTTGGTGCTGATGTTGGCAATAAATACAGTATAAATATTTTGCTCATTTTTTAAGAAATTCAGCTCTAACTTGTTATGACTGCAATATGTATATATTTTTTAATTTTCAGATAGGAGTTATTATGAATGAAATCAATAATATCTGGGGAGATATGAAAAGAATGCCACCTGATCCTTTCCTGGTAAGTTTACTATTAATATTAATTATAACATGTAGCATGATATAACACATGATCTGATTGGCTACCTTAAAAAATAATTAGATGGAGCACAAAAACACTTGGTCGTGCACACATACTCAGTCACAGAGGTCAACAAAGATTTTTGGTTCAACTTTTCTTTGGAACATAAAAACTATCTTTCAGAAAACAAAGCATTTCCAAACTTTGTTAAAGGAAATTTTGAATTATTTCACCTAATTCTGATTCTGTGGCATGGTTAAGTTTAGAAGAAGTGAAGTATAATTATTTGGATAATTTTTTATTATGGATATAACTATGGATAATTAATGGTATGTTAAAAAGCAATGAATGCTTGTAACCAGCTAAACTTTTAATTTCTTGGTATTCAATTCCAGACAACCCACCAAAACATGGAACTACAAAGGTAAGATCATATTACATTGGTAAACCAAAGACCCCACCTTTATTGCATCAATTAATTTATTTTGAGATTAATACTGTAATAATTATTTTCTGCTGTAGACGTCTTGCCATTGAAATTGTCACCCTGGCTCAAGGATTATTTGTTAAATTTCTGGACAAAGCACAACGTAAGTCATTCAATACATTTCAGGGGCTATAGATAATAACTTTTCAATGTCTGGACATATAATAGTAGTGCTACCTTCTTATTCAAGGTTCAAGGTTCAAGGTTTATTTTTTCCATATATTCACATAGCTATTGATGCTAGTAAAAAAGACAAAGAATCGTGGTAGAGTGCAGAAATACAACCCGAGGGGGTTAATGAAATTTTCTGCAACCTATTCATAGGTAATTCAATTAAAGATAATGGGACGGAAGAGGGAAATTAAAATGCATAAGTAAGTTAAGAACAGTTCTTGGATTGAATATGATATGGTTCTCCACATTGTTTTCATGTGTTCATCCAATCAAAACAGGCAGTTAAAGTATGGCAAAAATTTATATGGTAAAAATATGGTATAGTTACTAACTATAAAGCTATACATAAATTTGCTGTATTATTCCCCAATCTAGTAAATATATAGAATTCTGTAGTTCCCGAAAATATCCATATCCCACCTACTATAAAGAAATTGGAAATTCTGGAGGGGAGGGAGAACAAAAATTTGTATGGAAGAAAATTCGAAGTTCCTGGGGTTAGTGGGGTCCATTTACGAATTCCCCCCATGGGGGGGGGGGGGGATTATGGATATTTTCTGGAGCACATCATATGATTTATATAATATATAAATACAATATATATACATCTGCTCAGCATTGTCATCTAGAGTTTCTCTTCCTTTGTAAATTTATTAGTCAAAGAATCAAGAATTACAAAATTGTAATATCTGATATCAATTATTTGTTTCTGTTGCTTTCATGTTAGGGCTTAATAGTCGTGGTGTGTTTAGTGGTATTGCTAACATGAGTCGTCTCAAGACACAGTTAGCATTGGAAGCAAATAAAAGGTATTAATGCAGTAATTAATGGTAGTGTGGTTAACATGGGTCATGTCATGTACATTTAGCAGTGAGATCAAAATTTGCCTGGTTCACACAAGCAACTCAAATGCAAGCACAAGCAAAATTACATGTGAAATACAGCAACAATATATAATACATGGAATGGAAGTTTTTTCATTTTCTTGTGCTTGCATTTGCATTTTCGTTAGCATCTTTTACATGTGAACCAGAAAAAATTCAAAGGCAAGCAAAAGTACCTGTGGACTACAATAATGCAAAATTTGCAAGCAAAATTATGTGCAAACTATAATAACACAAGTGCAAAACACAAGAGCAAAAATGTTTTTGATGTTAACAAGCTACATGTAGTTGTAGTACCTTGTAAAAGTATGTAGATGATGGCTAGTAAACACTAGCGTGTTTAAAAGTGTGCACCCTGTTTGAGTTAGCATTTGCTTTTGTGTTATTCTTGTAAACCAGACTTTAGACACAAGTGTCTTCATTTGTAATCATAAATAAGATATTTCAGAGCCAGCTATTGAAAATGTCTATGAATTATTTCCTTCACAGCTTCAATGTACTCAGTATACGTAGGAATCTAGCGATGGACATGAAAGCCCCATCAGATGGCAGTACCATCTCAAGCATAAAGCTATCTCAATTCAAATTTACTGGTGGTGTAGGTCCAGTACCAAAGACATACAAGCCTTTAGTAGTAAGTGTCTAGTGGCTGGAATGGTCAGATGGTAGCTAAGAACAATAAGGATTTTGAGATTAATAATATAAGAAACGATACAGGCAGTAACCCACGACAYTTCGAGGTCATGATGCTGACCTCATTATCAAGTGTGTTTAATGGAACTAAATCTTGACTATTTATAAACTAACTCTGTGGAATCCACTGTTAATCTTATTATTATATATTATTATTATTAATATCATTATTATATTTATAATTAAATGACAATTTAACATTCTTGCAAGTACCTCACTTCACCACCACCAATTCTTGCTTATTAGGTTCGACAAGAGGAAGAAAGGGCCAAACTCCGCCTATCAAAGGAAGAAGCATTACAGCGAAAAATGGAAAATGAATTAAATGATGTAAGTTAATTTCACATTCAATTCTCCCATCTCGTGTTGAAATTTGTGTTGATTTTGCTGCTATCAATCCCCAGGGGGGGGGGGGTAATCCTTAATATTCGCTATAGGGGTAGATATTAACTTTATCGACGGTAGATCCTTCAGGGTACGTGCCAGTATGTCCAGCAGCATTTAGTTTTAAACCAGGGCAAGATTTAAGGAGGGGGGGGGGGGCTAATTGAGTTTCTTCCGTCAACACAACGGAAAAAAATTAAAAAAAGCATCTAATTCTTCAGTTTTTTTTGTTTTGTTTTTTTCTGCTGGGGGGTGGCTTCAGCCCACCTTTGCCCCCCTGGATCCACCCTTGCTGGGATTGTTAATTTTTCTTTTTCTGTTTAAAAACAGCTTCAGAAGCAAATGCCAATTGTGGATGCTGAAAACTATTACAGGATGATCCCATATGAAGCTGTAGCAAAGAGAAAACCACCCTCTGGTAAATGACTGTGATAAATATGAATTATGTATAGTTTAATAAATGATCCAGGAGTATTTTAGACCTGATAAAACACGATCTGCCAGTTTATTGAACAACTTCAAAAATGCATGAATAATTAATGAGCTTTTAGGGTCCTTATTCGTGACATGCTCAAAATCATTATATAAAGATATCCATGTTGAGCTATTATCAGGTATAAAGATCCGTGCATGTGATGGATTTGAAGGTTTAAATGCTCATTAATTATTCATTTGAAACGCATTTAAAAAGTAAATTAAAGTACAGATTTCTTTAGCTTTAGTGCACAGTGAGTGCAAGGTTTCCTATTTCAAACCATGTGTGATTCTCTTGAGAATAGCATTTCGTTGTTTGAGTTGTCTCCATATTCATGTGTCTTATTCTCATGTGCAATCATTAAACAAAGAAATAATACTCTAGAGAATGACAYGTGATATGATAATGAAATGGGAAATTATTTAATCCAACCTAAAGAGGTCCTCTAGAACAGGGAATATAATTAACACCTTGGTATTTCTAGAGCAGTTTTTGTATGACTTTGAAAAGCTCATGGCATGAACACGGATGTGACACAGCAAAGGAATACACCAGACAATCACATTGCTTGAGAATTTACTCTGTATCCAATCAAATGCACAGAATACGTTATGAACAAGGCATAGACTTGTTACGTCCAGGTCACAGCACTGCCAGACCAACAAAACACAATAGAAATCATGAACATGAAGAGTTTTATAATTCTGATGCAGAATCATGTTCATTTGCATAAACTTTAAGATGGATTTTCTTGGCTAGATTCACTTTTATCTTGAAAATTTTAGTGAAACACAAAGGAACTAACCTAGACTGAGTCGTTAAGCAATGTACAATATTCATGTCCATGTTGTATACAATATATAACTTCTCGGCTACGCCTTGAGTTCATATATTGTATACTACACGGCCACTCATACTATATAATTATATTAAATAAAGGACCTTTGAAATAGTTGCAGGAACTATGCAAAGTGGAATTGAAAAGGACCTTGAAGTGTAAGTACAGTATTCTCTATTTGCAAGTAACTTTATCACTGCCARTAGATGTTGGTTGTATTTTTAAAAAAAGATTTCTCATTTTGTTAATACCACTAACTGATTCAGGGGGGCATGTGCAGGGGGGGGGACTAGATTTTGGAGTGGAAAATAAAAAGAATAAAAAGAATATTAGGTAAGACCTAAAAAGGACACTGTGGTGCCTTTCTAAGTTAATCCCCTTAAAATCATCCTGGATCTGCCAATACATGGCCTCTCTTGGAAATAGCTGCAAACCATTAGTATTTGTTACTAGTCTTTAAGGTGGCACCTCTTGCTGCAGTAGTAGTACTGTCTTTCAATTTGAAGCATATCGTAATTTAGGCAAAGTTAAAGTCGATGCATAGCTGCTGACCAGCGGTTCATGGGTGTATGTGCGGGTGCACAGCACAGGARGTTAATCAGGGGTCAAGCACATGCTTTCTGCTAAGCATTGCAGATAAAATGGTGATTGAAAACTGATTATTAATAATTTATTACTCAAATGTCTCTTATTTTCACCAGTTCTAAAAATACAGAGGATTATTTCTTTCTGGAAAAGGTAATCTAGTGCTTTAATGTTGCATGATGATTTGATAGACCATGTTGACTGGCTTACTAAGGGACCGTTCATTTTTTATCAGGGAGGGGGGGGCCAGTGGAAATCTGGAGGGGGATGTAAAAAAATCCAGCTTATAGAGGGGTGCCACATGTAGAAGAATCAATTTAAAAAGGAGGGGCCATTCAGGTATAGAAAATGAGGGGGACCAGCAGATGTCAACAGGAGTATAGAGGGGGGGCTAGTTTTTCTTGTATGGGCTCTTACTGGAATTCCATTGCCCCCCCCCCACCTCCCTGATAAAAAATGAACGGTACCTAAATAACCATTTACTGACAGACAGTAAGACAGATAGATTGAGTATCTGAATTATTGACAGAGAGACTGATCACTGACTGACCAAATGATTGGCAGACAGCTGACTAAATAACTGCACTGACCAATTGATTGAAATTTCGCTATAATGTCTGCAAGTAACTCATTTAAAACAGTCTTCTTTTTAGGCTAACACTTTTATTTTACTCCAAGATACAGCCAGCATGCTCTATTTTAAATTCATATTAATTTCACATGTTCTAGAAGTGTCCATCCGCACCATATCTACCAGTAGGAGAGTCGTTACTGGATGAACTTGGAATCCTGAGAGAAGATATCATAGGTATCCAATACTACTCAATACTTTTTAATTTCTAAACAGATTCTTACCTCAAGTCCACTAGAGGGCCAAGGGATTAAGGGGGAGGGAGGGGAGGGAAGGGGAGAAGAGGGGAGGGAAGGGGAGAAGAGGGGAGGGGAGGTTAGGGTAGACATATCTTGGGCTGGGCTGTATTTTTATCTTATTCACCCATACAAATGACAATTTAGGGTATTCTTTGATTTTCTTTTATATAAAATGATTAAGTATTTTATAAATAATTTTCTTACAGCTGAAAATGGTTTCGTTAGATCTAACAGTGTGGACAAGCTTCAGGTAATAAACATAAAGATAGGGTCAATATATAGGATTATATATTTTGTTGATGTATGAGTTGGGATTGCAGTGCATTATGGGACTGGAAATATATCCCCTCAATCAATCCCACAATGCACTGCAATGCTAACTTGGCCCCATTTTTTCCTGAATCTTGGAATAGCTAATAATTAAGGGCTGGAGTCATTAGCTCTGCTTTATAAACTGTTGGATTAATTTTATTTTTCATCATTACTTTAACGCCGTCAGCTATGATTGCCATCTTCATTACCACAGACATCTTATCACCATCCATTATTAATTTCCAATGGCATCATAATCATCATCATTACAATGTTCATCATTATTCACTTAATCTAGCTGTATACCAATCACTTGAATTGATCTTTCAGGAAGCTCGTCCCTATGAAGACCAAGTAGAATCTGAAGATGCAACAACCAAAGAACCAATGTATGTATGCTAAAGAAAGTCAGTATTGAAACACCTTCAACAGTTTTGTAAACAAAAGATATAACTAGCTAAAAACTAGTGTGAGCTGCGTCGGTGTTTCTAATGAAACAGTAATGATGAAAAGGTAAATTATACACCGTGAAAAGATGAAAAAACTTACTGACGTTTCGGACGCTAGTCCTTCGTCGAAGTAAAAGAGGAAGTCCGACGAAGGACTAGCGTCCGAAACGTCAGTAAGTTTTTTCATCTTTTCACGGTGTATAATTTACCTTTTCATCATTACAGTTTTGTAAACACATTATTATTATTATTATTTTTACAGAAAAGGCTCCAGTCAGTATGCAGCATATGACTTGAACAGACTTCTCACATCTAGAGCTGGACCTCCATTGGTTAGTATACAACAATGAAGAATTTTCAATCAAACATCAATCAATCAATCAATCAATCAATTATCAATCAGTGAATCTCATTATTAAAGTAGTCTGTAATGACACTCAAACAATTATCCTGCTATCAACCAGAGAGTGCTGGTATTCTATTGTCTGTTATCAATCAGCTAAATTGATCTCATTATCAGCCTACAATGACAAGAAACACTGCCTGTCATGTGCTATCAACCAGATTGTATTCTATTGCTTGGTATCAATCAGCTGAATGAATCTCATGAATCTCATTACCAGCCTATGATGATAGGCAACCACTGCCCGTCATGTGCTTAATCAAACAGAGAGTATTCTATTGCTTGGTGTCAATTGGCTGAATCAAGCTAATTTAGTCTAAAGTGACAGCAATTTCCTATCATCATTAACATTCAATCATTCATTATTTGAGTTTTCATTTATGATTTATTCTTTATAGTTTGAAGACTGCAATGATGAGAAAGAAAATGGCAATCTACCACCTCTCCTTCAGGTAATGTTTGCACCTCAAATCAAAAGGCTCTATTCACAACTCTTTAAAATACCATAATTTCTAAAATGTGTTRGCTTAGCTTTGAATTCAGGAGTTGCTTGCTTTGTTGTTCTGATTTCTGCTTTTATTTTCTATGAGGCTTAAGCTGCACATTCTGAAAATTATGGTATTTTTAAGAGTAGTGAATTGTGAACTTGATTCGAAGAAATCAATGTTGACATCAGCTTTCAGACATCCCAAGAGGCTCAGATGTAAAATGGCGGTCCTGTCTCACTTAGAGACGTTAAATTAAACATACAGAGGCCTGCAAGTTTGTAAATTGCTAAGCTGGCAACTGTCATGTGTCATCGTCTCTAAATAAAGGCTCAAAGGGTCAGAACAATCACAATCACTTACACCACCACCATCATCACCGCCATCACAAGCATCCTTAACCACTCATAAGCATTCTTAACCAGTGTCGTCATTGGCAGGCATTGGCTTATCACAGTAGTAAGAAAGCAAAGAAGATAGAAGACCACTCCCTGAAGGATAATAAAGAAGATGACATGAGTAGTGAGACAGGATCAGTGATTGGTTCATCCAAGGCATCCTCTGTTGCTATGGATCCTAATGTAATAGATGATAGGTGAGTTACTGGGCAAATGAAAGAAGTAAAACCTGATTGAATGAATGAGTTGAGGGAGGAAAAGAAGGAAAAGAGGATAGGTGGGTGAGGTGGTGGGTGTGTAAATGGATGGATGGGTGGGTGAATGGGTGGGCGAACGAACGAACGAACGAACGAACGAACGAACGAACGAACGAACGAACGAACGAACGAACGAACGAACGAACGAACGAACGAA